TTCAAAGCTTCACTACATAGCTCCAGAGGCTGTGTAGAGTTATAAAGCTGGCAATGGCAAGTGATGGCCACGTGCCTGCACTGGCCAATGAGAATATATTTCTATTGGGACACCATCCCAGAAGAAAGAAGGCTCAGAAGGTATTCTCATTGTTCAGTGCGGTCACAATTTCAATTATTTGTGAAAAGGTGAACTAACTCATTGATGCAAAGATGCCAATGGCTCAAGCATTTATAAGACAACCAAGGTACCAACAGCATAAATCCCGGTAATATACTTTATTGCTATTACATAGTTCAGGGCTACCACCAGATTTGGTTGAATCCGCCCCATATTCCTCTGACCTCTGCACTCATCATAGAATTCTTTTAGGCCTCTGCCATGCCCTCTTTAACTGAATCGCAATTTTACCTTTAGAGCCCCTCTTTATAGTATGACTGAAGTAAAGGAGTTCCACATACTTGGCTTTATGAAAAATATAAACTGTTTACTAAAATTAATTCTTTAAAAGCTAAATGTAACAATTCTGCCCACTCTGTGGTAAAACCGTTTGGTACTTTCTCTCCCACCTTTGTCTATCAGGGATAATCTTTAACCTTCAGAGAGATCATGACTGACCTTACCGTCCTCCCCCAAAGATCAGGGGACCTCGATTATTGATTACATGGTGATATCCGTCAAGATGTCGACTCCTCTCCCAACCAGCAAATCTCGCTCCCTAATGCACTGTAGAGAGCAGCCTGATTCCCTACACTCCCGAGGGAGACAATTTTCACCCCTGCCAGTTCTGTCAGCCTACACCACTGCCTATGTTGGCTTTGAAGATACCCTGTGCAGGCTGTAGGCCTAAACTTTGTAATAATAATACAAATTATACCCATGGCTGATTCAAACGCTGTGGCTGTCTTGTAGATCTTTCTGGCTCATTGGCATCTTTGCAGCAGTCTGCACACTTTAAAATGATAAAGTGAAGTTGTAACAAGCTTGGAATCAGCACACATAAAAGTTACAATATATTAAGAAAATAATGCTCAGCAGAAGGATATTTATTTCGTCTTCAGCAGAGGTTACTGAGCAAGCATATTTTTTAATGCTCCTGGGTTTAATGCGGCACATTAAACGGTTTTCTGAAATGCAGAATCTTGGCGTAAAATATTTTTTGTATATATTTACAATAATTTACAGCTACTAAGAAATTGCAGAGTGGCTGCTGCAAAGAACCTCAGATGAAAGTGTTGGCTTGGTACTGATTTACGCTCCTGCTTACCTCAGCCCTTTTTTTGATTATATGGCAGGGGTAGGCAACCTAAGTCCCTTCATGCTTCTGCCTGTGGGAGGCATACCTAGAGTCTTACAATGACTAATGAGATTTCTAGTTTCCCCCCAGCTGGAGTGCAGAGGTTGACTATCCCTGGTTTATAGGATAATCCAAAAAAAGTCTCCCTAATCTCAGTCCCAGATTCATGTTAGGTGTCAGCCGCAGACTTCTGACTGTTTACCGCCTCCACAGGGCATGACTGCACAGTACGCCTCCATAGAGCTGAATGGACTCCTTGCGTCCTTGTGAAAAGGACTGCTGGGGTTTCAAGAGGCTGAACTGAAAATACATTTTCTTTTGAATACATTCAGTATTTATTTAAGGAGAGAATAGATGTTAAAGAGGAAAAACAAGAATGGAAGGATAATATAACATTATCTATTCATACAAGAGTGAAAGAATGTCGGGGGACCGGCTGGCTCTGGGGGGGGGGATGCTTAGATACTGTCGAAGTTGAGCTATTACCTGGGCTATGTCTGATATTAATATACTGTTGTGGAACGTCCGGGGGCTTAACTCCTGGGTTAAACGTTCCCTAGTGTTCCAATATCTTGCATCGTATAACCCGCATGTCTGTATACTCCAGGAGACTCACCTGACTGGTAATTCTATAAGACCCATGCTGAGGGGGTGGCCCCCCACCTATTGCATACCTATGGGGAGGCTAGTGAGGCGGGTGCTCTACCCCCCTCCATGATGGAGGCAATCATAGTGGTGGTGCCTAAGCCTGGGAAGGACCCTGAGCAGTGCTCGTCTTATCGCCCGTGGTGGTTTAAAGGGGATCAAGATAACCAGGCGGTAACTCTGGAGGCTGCTCTGATGGGTTCTTATGCGGGGCTGAGAAACTTGGTTTATAGGGGTCCGAAGGCAGTTGGGACGGTCACGGGACCTATGCGTACTGTACTGGCGGTGTGGGACAGGATGAGAAGGGGAAGGGTGCCGGCTGGTGCCATTTCCCCCGATGTCCCATTTGGGCCCACCGTGGGATCACAGTTAAGCTAGAAGTCACAACAGGAACTTTCTACAATAGGAGGTGAATTTTTTTTTAAAGGTGATTCCTCACCTAAAGGGATGCCGACACTGCAGCTATTCTTATTACAACACTGAGACTTTGCAGGTGGGTATAATGAAGGCAGACTCTCCTATTTAGAAATCGGTTTGAGTACATAATGAAACATACATTTCTTTAGAAAAATATGAAGCTGGAAAAAAGTTGTTGGAAATCTTTACAATGTATATAAGGTACCAAATGGGTCCTCAACAAAACTATGGTTGCACATTAAACTATATATCCAGGTGTACCATACAGCAAAATGGGTTTCATATTTTCAGGTTTGCGGTAACTCGTAGGTTACATTCACACATGCCTCTTGTGTTTGGCTTATTTGAAGGCAGAGAGACTGATTGTTATATTACCCAGAGTACTTTCTCCTGTCTTTAGGTGTAGCTGCACGCGTTTAAACGCATTCAGAATATCTAATCTGCCCCCTGATACACAGATTTCGTTTTACTATGACCCTCTATGCACATCATCAAATCATACCATTTAAGATAATTCAATGTATTTATAGGTATTTAGAAAGTCCTATAAACGCATAAATGTCACCATCAGTGTGAATGAGGCCTTACCTTTTCATTATGCTGAAAATCATTTTTACATTCTGTTTACTTAAAGGGCCAGATTTTAAAAGATTTCTGTATTTAAGAATTTATGACAGTTTTGTGACAGCGAGATACAGAGTAAAGAGTAAAGCACCTTTCAGAGTAAAGCACCTTTCCTGTTCCCTTGCAGGTGTGCCCCTACTAAAAGAGTACATTTTGGTTTGCTCAGACGTGGGCTTTTATGTCCCACATTCTATGAACTCATAAAGCACAAGTTACAATATACTCCCCTGCTGGGTAAAGTAAAACACATGCAATACTGAAAAAAAACAAAATTCTCTATTACGGTTAATAACATTTTCCAGACAAGTTTTGTTTACAAGATGTCCAATACGTGTCAGCTGGTGGAGTGTCAGTAATGTTTTGAATGACAATGGGTTATTAAAGCCGCCCATATACTGTAATATTTTCTTTGTTTAAGCTGCAGGCTGAATGATGACAATATAGCAGATTCATCCAACAATGATTTCAAGCGTTGATCGAGGAATCTCCTGCTGTTTGCACTGTATTCTGACAGTGGCTGCCAGCCACTGTCAGAATACCCAAAGAGAGCTGGCAGTTCATTGGCTGCAATATTCATTGGCTCCAATAGTCTCTAAACGGCTCCTTTGATAGCTGACCAAAAGGGTGACACCCACCCTGCGAATTTTGCATAGTGTATGGCCAACTTAAGGGACTTGGTTAAGCTACAGGATGGAATAAAAACCCCATCTGAACGTATCTAAGAGCTGATTGACTGCACTTCAGCTGAAGTTAATTTGTCTGTGAATGTTCTCATTCATCCAGGTCATGCTATATCTGTAAAAAAGAAATTAAGGCAACTGGACTTGCTGTATTTTTCTTGAAGGCGTTGGACCAGTGTAAACTAGGTTGGACCAGTGTATTGTGGACATGATTCTCTTATTACCCCTCACAGGCAGCCAAATTCTTGGAGGTTAATGTTTTTATGAAAGGCTTATTGTTTTTATTGGAGGTTTCGGTTTACCATTTTCTAGCTTAACCTATCAGGGCATGGTGTTTAAATTGTCATGCAAATATTTGTAAAAGGGTCGAGTGAAAAAAGTAATTCTTGTCTGATCAATCTATTTTCTGGAAGATTGAATCAAGGGGGAGAAGCCATGAGAGAAATGTGCCAAATCTAATTAGCTATGTGACTTTTCTTCACACACTTAAAAAAAAAAAAATTAAAAGATTTAGTAGCAAATATAAGGGAGTGAGAATTCTCAGGATGAGGTAGCAAGATATTGCTGACAACAGTAACGCAGAAGCCAGCATCAGGGAAGGAAGGCAGAGGAGAAACAAAGAAGGCAAAATCCTTTTGAGAAGGCCAAAGTTGTCCAAGGGCTGTATCACCATGCAGTAAGAGAAGTAAAGTAATGTCAGCATAAATATTAAAACGCATTTGTACTTGTTTTAGAAATAAACAAGAATAGATTTACTCAATAAGGCAGTGCAAAGAGGACAGACCTACAGTAACCACACCAAAACAATCCCTTAGCTAAAAGGACTGTTGGCTGATGTGAGTAACTGGACCTTCCATCATCCTGATTCCATGTACTGCTTTAATTAATGTATGTTCACAATCTGCTTCCCATAGAAATTTCAACCAACTGCCTGTGTTATAAAATTCTTTATAAAGACAAAAGGACAAAACGGAGTTTCCAAATGGTTACACATGTACAAATCAAGAGATGTATATATAATCAATCACCATGAAACTAAAAACATAACAAGGCCTGCTGGTCTTCCTAAAATTGACACCTTAATCTTACCAACACAGATAAAACATTCGTCATTTCAGATTTCAGAATCTACTCCATGTGATTACATGTCCTTATGGTCTTGATGCATCCATGTTATGAACCTGATTCACTTGCTGTAGGGGAAAGAAATCAACAACTTCTACTCTTTGCAGTGTCTTCCTTGTATTGTGTGCAGAGGGAGTACACTGGAGTCATTCCTGAGAGGTTTCTTATTGTTAGAGTGATAAGTTTAATATGTGTCTGTTCTCCCGCCAGAAGACAGTTCAGGAGCTTCATAGGAGTTATCTGTTTATTTGTACATGGCATTGAAGGCTCTGCCTATAACAAGTCTCCGAATCTCACTAGTGCCGGCTCCTATCTCATACAGTTTGGCATCGCGAAAGAAGCGTCCCATTGGATAATCGTTTATATAACCATTGCCTCCTGGAAAAGAAAATACAGATTAAGGTTTGAAGGCCAGAAAGTAACTTATTTCATAATTGTCTTTCTTTACTGCACACCATTTTCATGTTTAACTCAAACCTTCCTGATGCTGAATCAGTGCTATCTTGATGTCTTGATCAATTGAATTCCACTAACTCTCCAGACCCAAAAGGCACAATGTTTTGTAGTCCACAAAAGAGTACTATGGTTCAGTGCAATGTTCAGTAACAGTAGCAGCCAATCAGAATTACTTTTACTGATCTAACTACGGCAAGCTAAGATCTGATTAGCCCTTCATCACTGTACTATGCACTGCCTTAAAAAGAATGTATAGTGAACGTATACAGATTTTATTTCATATGGTCAGGGCTGAAAGAATAACAATGTCATTTTTTTCTTAAGCCCGGTATATATGAAATACTACCTAGAATTATTTTGCAGACATTTTCTAGCCAGCAGATGGAGCTCTCAGCTGTGTTTCACAGTACCGGGCCCCGTGCTAAAAGGCTTTTGTTTGTGTCAGAACCAATTCAAGTCTACAGGAATGCAAAAGCAGCTCAAAGCAGGTTGAATGCACCTGTCAACTTCTGACCAATCTCAGAAGCATCTCAAACTGATGTCAAGAGCAAGATCATCTTCAGAGCCAAAAGCCTGCCAATAAAGGCCTCAAAGCTGTCTATACACTGTCTTGCTTACTTGGCTGAAATGCCAGCAGTGTGTGGCCCCAATGGCACCCCTCAATTTAACAAAAGTCTGACAATTCTCAGCTGAACAGTGACTGCAACCAATCTGACAACTGCACACCCACTGCTGTCAGGATATAATAACCCAGTGGGCGAAATCCTCCCATCCAAGCTGTTTAGTGTTGGTGGGGGAAATCCATCCCTTTTTCTCATTCAGCCCAAAGGGCTGAAGTGTTTACTGAAATTTTTACTTGGAAAACCAAAAAAAAGATATAAATAAAGTCATTAAAAAGCCACAACAGTCTATCTTTACAGAATAGGCCTACATGTGATACATTCATCCTCCCTTGTGCGTTGTGGTGCTGTGTGCCTAAAAAGAAGTACTTCATGCAGTCAGTCTGAGTAGGTCAGTGAAAGTCTTACCTAAACACTGGATACCATCAAGAGCCACCTGAGTAGCACATTCCGCAGAATAAAGGATCGCTCCGGCACAGTCCTGCATAACAACCCAAACAAATACAATTACAAGAGCAAATAAATGCACCACTGTTACAAAGGTTAAGCCTGAACTCTGGTCACAAAAGCTTTGTATTTGTTTCAATAAAGTTATTTCATATTTGTTTTAAAATCAAGAATAGTTAAATTTTGTAATCTGTTATCAGGGCTGCTATTGCAGGACTTCCTGAAGTAGACGACACCTCTGCACCACAACTTTAATGAAGCAGCTAATGGTGGCTCCCCACGATGTCGTGACTACATGTCAATGTCATCACACCTGCAGTGTTATCCATAGGTGGATGGCTGCTGTCCAAAACCCATTCATAACATGCATAATTGGCATCTGGGAGTTAGGCAAACCCCACACCTCAATTTGTGTCTAGTTTCTCCTCTTGCAATGCCTTTGTCTGGCTACTGAAAACTAACATTAGTAAAAGGAACACCAGGAAACGTAGTTCCAGCATAAACTTCTATTGCACCTCACAGTGGCTAAGGGATAATAATGACTCCTGATGCCAAGCCCGGCCATAGAAGTGATGGATTCAGTCACATGACCACAACAGTGGAAATAAGGTACTTGGAAAATCTGTTTTTAATAAAAATGGGCCAGATTATGGTAGAATGAAGAGTTTAATCTCAAACGAGGGAGGAAGATTTTAATGTGCCCAGAATTCAGCTTTAAACCCTCAATGGTTGTTCTCCCACTAGATATCCACTTACCTTAGGATTGAAGTGTCCCTGGTCGCAGGCTCTTGCCACATTATAAACATACTGACGACAAGCAGTCAGGCGCGTGTACATGTCAGCCATCTTTCCCTGCATCAGCTGCCATAAAAAAAAATTGTTTGACATACTAAGAGTTACTCTAAAACTGGGTTTGATTAAACAGCAAAAATTGCACATTATAACTATCTCATCTTCATCATTAATCTGGGAAACCCAACTTTATTTTACCAAGATTAAAGATTGCAGTTTCAATTATTACCAGCAACCTCTTTGGTGGACAAGACAGACTTTCAAACTGTCCAGAGGCCAGATAATTTACACGGCCAGATAATTTCTTGATTGTCACAACTGATACCCCAATTAGGAATATGTCCTAGTCATCAGGATCAGGCCGATATTAAATTATTATTGATCCAAACTGGTTCAGTCCACAACAGCTTCTTAACTACTTCAGTTCAACTCTTGCGCCGGTAGACCCCTTATGGGCCAGTGCTATTTTTACACTTCTGCTATGGGCTGTTTCTTTGGTGATAATTAAATTAAAGCGGACCTAGCGAACTAGTTTTACTGTAGATAAAAAGTAAACATTTTAATCTAGAATTTGTCCTGGTTATAATGACCATAAAATTATGTTTTATAATCACAAAACATGGCATAGTTTTTTCAAATGAAATAAAAGGCTTTTATTTTCAATTTTGTGCATTTTTAAATGCATGACAATTTTTTTTAATGGTAAATACAAAAGAAATAATAAATCAACCAATATTTGCAAAAAGACCATGAGTCAGTTACACAGTTTGATATTTTTTTTTTTCTTTACTTGACTGACATCACATGCAGATCAAAGGTTATCCTTTTGTAGATGAATGTAGCTATAGAGTGTAACAATAATAACTCTGCTATATTATAATTCCGATTGACACCGCAGACACTGCTTTTTGACTGTTGATAGAAAACAAGTCCAGGTTGTCAGCTAGGATTTGCTGGTGAGGTCGAGGAGGAGATGGGTGTACTACACACAGCCAAGGTATTTAGATTATGTTTTTTAGGGCATGTTTAGTACACCCAAAGTCTAGAACAGGTTAAAGGAGATCTTCTCAGGATAGCCTGTGGAGTTTGTACTACTAGAAACAAGTCATCATTCTGAGATCCTGTATTTCTCTTCTGACAGAGATCTCAGCTCTATATTCCCTCCTTGCCACTAGAATTTGCTTGGAATTTATACAGATTCATTTATGTCACTTGGCCCCTAATGGTTTCTCTTTTTAGACTGCTGAAATGGAATTTGCAACACCAATGAACATCACAGCAATTTATATTTTGTGCTTATCAATTAACACTTCATCATTCTGTTTAAGACATTTTAAGAAACTTTGCTTGATGAACTTTAAAGTTTTAATGTATTATTTACCTTTGTTTGTGTCCCTTAAAGTGGAACTATAACTCAGGTTTGCAAACAAATTGCTGCATTGTGCTAGATGTGTCACCATGCATTGTAGTAGCATGTGTTTAATGTACATGTCTACAATGTGGAGGTATAAATGGGCCTTTAAAACAAACACTGCAAATAGTGAATGAAACTCAACTGTTCACTAAAGGTGAATCAATCACTGCAATTTAAAGCATGCACCACTTAGATTGACCTGAATTGAAGGTCTTACATTCACTGCTTTAAAAAACAATATGCCCTAATTCGCTTCCTGCTGCTCTATGGCACAGTCCTGCTAGCTTGTGACTATAAAAGTGTCAACAAAAAGAAGAAGTTGCAGACCTATTGTCTAAAGCTGGCTATACACCTATAGATTATCTGCAGATTTTCTATGGTCAGATGGAAAAAGTGAAACAGATTCCTCTATCTACTTTAACTGTGTGGATGGAGGAATCTCCCACTGGGCCAAGCTTCAGTATCTTGCTAGTCGGCCCCACTGGCACTCAAAATAACTGAACAATCTGATTGGATGCAGGGGTTGTTCAGGTATTTTGAGGTCCAGCGGGGCTGACTAGCAAGATACCAAAGCTTGGCCCAGCTGGAGATTCCTCCATCCACACAGTTAACGTCGATGGAGGAATCTGTTGCACTTTTTCTGTCTGACCATAGAAAATCTGCAGATAATCTATAGGTGTATGGCCAGCTTAAGGTGGGGAGTTAACAAATCAGAAGCAATCATGAAAAGAGGGTGGTGGTTAAATAGTACTGTGGTATATATTTTTACCTGGAAATATCCAATTTTTTGACCGAAGGCTTCTCTTGTGTGCAGATAGGGAATTGAATGATCCAGAACAGCCTGCATGATGCTAGAGGATTACAGATAAAGAATACTCTTCAAAGGCCACAGTGATATATCTTCTGTGCATGATGCCACTAATATAAAATGCATTTACAGGCAAACTCTAAAGAGATAACTTGTTTTTAGCGTCATGCAATTTCTCCGTTTCACACAGTGCCATTCAAAAACAGTACTAATGATGCAGTGAAGATACCGATATACAGGACGCTCAGCACAACCAATATTACACTGATTAGCAGACTGCGTCACAATAAAATCAAGGAATGAAGCATATGAATGGAAACAAAAAAATTGGGCATTCCAGCTCCTACCATCGTTACAATGTGCTTCCAATACACATAAGAAGCCATTCACACCTGCCAAAGATGATTTGCAATATACAGCCTATTAGCATTACCCTATTGGGCCTGCGCTGAGAATGACCCTCTCAAGATCCAACCCACTCATCAGTACATAGACTCCCTTTCCAATGTGTCCAAGCATGTTCTTTTCTGTAAGAAAATAACAAAAATTAAAATGGTAGTGGTTTGAAATACCCATCGGCTTCTGCCATCTTTTAAGGACTTCAGCACAAAAATCTCTGCACCCAAGTTCACTTCACCCCCCTACCACACTTATTAAACATGCACTCTTCATGCTTCCCACTTATTTATTGCTATGGAGAATGCAGCGGGAGGAATAAGACTTCACAAACATTGCAGTTTATAGTAAAGCCAAGAGCAGTATCTGTTAAATTATGCTTTGTAGCATTTACAATAATTTGGCTTATATCAAAGCTAACTATATCAGAGCTATTAATTTATTAATGTATATTAGGAGGTATGGTTAGTAGGAATGGTTTTAAGAACAACACAGTATAGTCTGTGATACTTTTTTATTTGTACCAACAGTTAAATTTTCAGCACACTGTATCAGTACTGGTTGGATCTCAGAAGAGGCAGTTCACTCTGGCCTCCTGTGGCATCCCTGACCATAGCAAAACATGTAGGACCAAAGCAATGGCGTCTGTTGATGGTCAAGCAAGTCTGATGCTCTTTGGAAGAATCCCAGCAACTTGAAGTCAGGGGTTATCCTAGGGCTGGCCTATTCTTTTGCCAGTGTCCAGTCCTCTTGTAGTCGGTAGTATAACCTGACAGTATCTAAATTCTCTCAATGGACGAGAAATATCTTTCTTTTTGAATAATTTTGCCCGGACATACACTTCAAATGACCATATGAGTCAATAATCACATCTCCTTGCCAACAAAATACCTACTTCAACTGTGTGCGGGTGACACTTTAAGGCTTTTCTTCCAATGTAGAAGACTGCATATCATATTCCTTTGTTCAACTTACCTGGAATCTTGCAGTCCTCAAACACCAGCTCACATGTGTTTGACCCTCTCATCCCCAGCTTGTCAAGTTTCTGGGCTGTGCTAAATCCTGGTCTGTCCTACAAAGAAATTAAAACAAACATGTGGTGGGTAAAATATAAGGGCTCCAATTGCTAACCTCCTCCCAGGCCCAGCGCTACCGCAAGGCAAGCGGCCGCCTGAGGGCGCTGCAGGGTGAGGGCGGAAAAAACAGGGCATTTTGACAAGTACTTGTACTTGCCAAAATGCCCCGATGCTTGCGCTATGTTTTTTTTTTCACTTACCTTCGGTGCGGGAGAGCATCCGAAGGTAAGTGAAAAAAAAAAAAAAAACATAGCGCAAAAAATTTTGCCCCAAAACCAATGCTGATAGGGAGCAGGACCAGCGCTACAGGGGGTCAGAGAGGGGGGAATGGGGCAAAAATGCACCTTGCCTGTGTAGGCAATAATCCTAGCAACGGCCCTGCCTCCTCCTGAATGTGCTAGTTACCTGGCTGCAATGCTGATCCTCTGGCTTCAACACAATGAATCTGTAACCTGGTACAAGTATGCAGATCAGTAAAGTTGAAGGAAAGGCCTTACCCTGCATTCTTATTCCAATCAGCAATTTATGGTATTGAAGCGAGTAGATTGACCTTACACCCAAACAACTCTTTTTAGAAGGAGCAGTTAGCATTGGCAGCCTCCATATTTTTTTCTCATGACAGGTTCCCTTCAAGAAATACACAGTCGCAGCAGGAATCCCGTCGGCCTCCAGGGATTACCAAATGATTATGGAACACTATAGTAGGCTGCAGCAGCATATTCATGAGGATCAGACTACAAAGGGAAAAACTCACCTTTTCCACAACGAAGGCAGTGATGCCATGCGAGGCTGGTTTAATATTGGTGTCTGTCTTGGCATAGACGATCACCACATCAGCATCAGGACCATTTGTAATCCAGAATTTGTTGCCGTTGAGGATATAATAGTCACCTAGCAAAATAAAGACCTATGTTCACAATAGTATTTCCACTAAATAACTAATTCAGCAACAATAGATACTTTGCCAAAATATCAAATATTAGGCCATTCAGGAAAGATGTTTTTATTTGAGGTTGTCTGTGAAATATTTCACAGGTGGGTAAAGCGTTAAAGCCCGGCTCCAGCCAACACGTTTCTTTAATCTGGACAGAATAGATAAGCGTTAGAACCTCTCTCATGTTTTAAAAGCTGTGACCCATTTGAGAATTTTGCCTCACTTGCTGCTCTGCCTAAAACCTGCCACCTTGACAGGAAGTGGGGAGAAAACTCCCCAATGGGGACGCAGACAGCAATAAATACATGAGAAGTTTCAGAAACGTACACAACACTCACTTTTAGTGGTATTTTCTTCCAAGATTGATTTTATTTTCTATGCATTTTGTTGATCATTTTAAATGCTTTGGGATTTTTTTTACCCTTTAAGTGCCCAAGTGCGGACACCCGGACCTGCACGGATGTGCGTGTGACAGCGTGTACATGCATGTAGCTGCATTCTCCTATAGGGAAAAACAGGCTGCTGAGCGTAATTACATGCAGCACCTGACCCTTCCGGAATCTAGTCTTTTTACGGGGGGTGCACACTGTATGGAAGTGCACGACAGTTTGAATGAGCCCCAAATTGTATCCAGTGACTCAAAGTACATCAGACAAATCTGCAACAACTGTGTGATGCCATTATGTCAATATGGACCAAAAACTCTTCAAGGAATGTTTGCAACACCTTGTTGAATCTATTGCACAAAGAACTGAGGCAGTTCTGAAGACAAAAGGGGGTCCGACCCAGTACTTGCAAGGTGCATCTAATAAAGTGGCCAGTGAGTATATATCTAAAGCCACAGCTTTGTGTAAAGCTGCATCTGATCTGCCTTAAGTAGTGGCATAACGGTCTTCCCCTGCTTCTTGGTAAGCTCTCAATACTCTTGTACAAGGTCTAAACCACAACTTATAAGATCCAAAAGAAATAGAAAAATGTCTGCAGTGAAACCAACCTTTCTTCTCTGCCTTCAACTTCATGGACACCACATCAGAACCAGAATTGGGCTCACTCATGGCAAGTGCTCCTATATGTTCCCCACTGATTAGCTGTTAATAAAGCATCCGTGGATGAGTGGAAAAACAACAAATGAGCATGTAAGATTTGGGATACACAAAACATTACAATGGACATATTTAATGAAAATATTAAAAATGTACAAATACTAATAATACAGTTATAGTTTGTACTCTGCAGACAGGTGGAACTAGCTCACCAAAGGCGGATTATGTATATAACGGGCAAAGCATGGCAATTGGCCAAATGCTCTCTTTCGAAATGGTAAGATGGAATAGCACTGGCTATACAGATGTTGTTGCCTGCTACTAAGCTAAACATAAGTGAAACATACAATACCATAACAGAGAAGAGCCAACACTGTGAATTCACTTATTCAATCATTCACACAGCAAAAATCTCCCTACCTTCCCCTCTATTTTTTTATTCTTGTTGTCCCGTTAATAGGCTGCCCATTCTCAAATACACTGATATTTTCTTTCTCTCTCAGGAAGGAATCCCTGAAACATACATAGGGTAAGTAGACTGACTCTCACACATACAAACATATGTATACATACACAAACAGCTGACATTCACAAACTCCTTCCAGCTTCATTTGTGGACCAAGTACTGACTGTTTAGCTTTGCACTACCATTGAGATGCCACAACAAAACTCTACGACAACAGGAAACCCAAAACAGCAGCTTAATCATATCGCCATGCCCTATGGGGGAGGCAACCACACTGTACTGTGGGATAGGTTGGAAAATTAATAGAGTGAAACGGAAGGCACATTAGGAACCCCAACATGTAATGCCAATATTTGTACAACGTTACTTTTTTACAGTAGGTTTCACCATTGTCTGGTCTACCTATATAATTTACAGAGTGGGCCATTAATGTTGGGTAATATTGCTGAACATACCTTTGGAAGATATTTTTCTTTCTGTGCTTCACTTCCATTTCTCACCAGCTGGTTCACACAGAGGTTGGAATGGGCACCATAACTTAGACCAATAGCTCCAGACACACGTGAAATTTCCTCCATTACCAAAACATGTTCCATATATCCCATGCCAGCTCCTCCATATTCAGCTGCAAAAGGATAGAAACCATTTTATATTAGGATAGACGGCAGTCAAAACTGATATATACAGCACAGTGGCTTAGTGGATAGCACTGAGGGTCCCTAGATTAAATCCCAGCCAGGTCACTATCTGCAAAGAGTCTGTGTGTTCTCTCTGTGCTTGTGTGTGTTTCCTCCGGGTACTCTGGTTTCCTCTCACACGCCACAGACATGCTGGAAGGGTAATTGGCTCCTGTCCAAATTGGCCCTTGTATGCATGGGAAATAGGGACCTTAGATTGTAGCGCAGGGACTGATGTAAATGTGCAACTATGTAAATCTCTGTGTAAATTGTCAGCGCTATATAGATAACTGTAAGAAATAAATACATTTTGATATCCAATAAGTACTTAAAGCTCCTGCACTGGGCTATACTGCACTGCATATGGAACTGATAAGTTTGTCCATTGGGAGGAAAGGTCTGTTGATTCTGCCAATCCATGTCTGTGATCAAATATAAAGCATACAAAGATTCAGACCACAAGCCGAGCATTCAGACAATGTAGAAAGCAGCAGAAGTGGTTGTACAATGCAACAGCAGCAATCCTAAGGCGACGCCACTGCAGTTGTTCATATGCAGAGTATCATAAATCATTTACCCAAAATTAAAAATGTTATTCAATTGAAAAGAGAAAAAAAAAAGCGAGGTTCTCAGTTTCTTACCAACTTATGATTAATGCACATAGTGCAACTTGCAGTTCAACTTGGGAGATGTCATTTAAGGAAGAGCTCCTGGCAGAAATTCTATTAACCCTTGCATTAAAGCTAGCCCCATACTGCAAGGTTCAGCTGCTTATTTTTGCCCAGTGTAAGTTCTACTCACCAAACTTCTGAGCCGGCAGCGTTACCTCCAGCCTGTCTCCTACTAGTCTGCGAGGATGGTATGGTATCCTCACTCCCAATATACTGAATTAGATATGATGATTTAAGGACTCCTAGACCGCTGTAGTGGAGGGGGAGAGGCCCTCAAATTAGCAGTTTACCATTGCAGTGTGGGGTAGCCCCACTGCAAAGGTTAATACATTTCTGGCCGGAGTTCTTAAAACAGCCCTAGAACCAGCATAAAGTTGAGTGATCATGTTTTTTTTTATATACATTGAGCTCTAAGTTCTTTTTGGCTGACTTTTCAGGTACTGGATCCTATGAGCACCTTTAAGCATCGTTTCTGTTAAATAGCCTGTCCACCAAATACTTATATTTCAGATATTGGTATTTGCTGTCTAGTCTAATCACTTCTGCCTTACTTTCTTATTCATTCAGGAAATACATACATGTTAACAGCTCTGATTCCCCTGGTTTGATGTGGTATTGGAGCAATATAGGGAGCCACTCGAGTCCTAATTTTATCTACATAAAAGAAATGAATAACTCGATCCAGTGCGCAACCCCTTCAACAGCTGCAGTCAGTGCACAGGCATGGAAAGTGTAGAGATGCAGCTACCAGAAACTGAGATAGACCAGGCTAATGGGTAAAATGGTTCACTGACTTCTACCAAAACCTGAAATATCAGTTCTGCAGCAAAACAGGGTCAGAAAGCAAGGAAACCCTTACATTTAATGGTTTTAGTGGTTTTAGAACTAAGGAGTTTGCATGTTCTCCCTGTGCTTGCGTGGGTTTCCCTCCGGGTACTCTGGTTTCCTTCCACAATCCAAAGACATTCAGGAAGGTTAATTAGCTCCCGTCTAAATCAGCCCTGCATGTATGCATGGGAGATATGTGAGCTACGTAAATTGTCGGCACTATATAAATACCAATAATAAATAAATACTCTGAACAATTGTAAAATTGTTCCGTTTCATTATAATCTAAGTGTCTTTCTCTTAGGGTTATAGAGAGATTTAGGAGTTTACCAATGGACAGTTATCTGCTAGACTTGATTTTTTATACATTATTTGTATTAAAATTAGGAATGCACTAAAACCTGTTTTTCTGTATCAAGTACCGATATTTATATTTTGGAAATCGCAGATACAGAGTACAGATACCGGTACTTCCGCTAACATGGAGCCGGCTTCCAGGGCAAACAGGAAGCCGGATTCCCAGCCAATTATCCATGCTGTTTGGCCGGCTCGATGTTGATTGGCCGGGAAGCGTTGTGCAAAGTTTGCCACTTGTTTCCAAAAAGATTTGATGCGAGGGCAGGCCCAAAAAACATGATACAAATTTATTTTTTAGTTAAATGACAGCTGTGTACTTACTTGGAGCTGTTATTCCAAGAACTCCCAGATCTCCAAGTTTCTTCCAAAAATTCTGAAAAACAGATTTAATTAAAATTAGATTTCCAAAAAAACAAAAAGAAATGAGGAAAACAACCAGTTCCTAAAAAGGAAAATATTATACTTTCCTTAAAAAATATTTTTAAAAAGAATTTTCTTTTTTCCCCTTATTAACCTTTAGGCAAGTCAAATTAGCTTAAAAGGAGAACTATGGGGTTAAGGCTTTTCCCAATATTTCTCCTTAGGGTAACGGGAGGACACAATCTAGCGTCCTCCCGTCACCCTAGGCTCAGTATACTGCAAGCTGTAGCTTGCGGTATACTGAGACGCCGCAGCTGAAGCGGATCCCGACAATTGTGCCGGGATCCGCCCAGCTGCGTGACTGACAGCTGGCTCTGCCTATCTAGAGGCAGAGCCAGCTGTACCCGCCCCCTCCCCTGTCCGTTCCGCCAGTCAGCGCTGGCGGATCAGAGCGGGGAGGGGGGAATCCAGCCACTCCCCTGTCACGACAGAGAGCCGTGAGACGAAAACCGAGAGGTGAGCGAACGCCGGTATGTGTTTGCTCACCTCCTGATCTACTGAGCCGACCTGTGACAGTCTCATTGTCACAGGTCGGCTAGAACTATGAAAAGCACTCACCTCATAGTTCTCCTTTAAGTGTATGGCCAGCTAGTGACAATTCTTTCTTAGACATGTCAGGATATACAGCGTGTAATCAAACATAAGTAATGTTTATCATTCATTAGAACTATGTAGGTCCCTCAGACTTAACAGGTATATTAAGCGGACTCCACCTAGAGTGTTTAACTGGCTTAGAGCAAGTTTGCCTTCCTTCCAAGCACCTGCAGCAAATGTCAATGCTCCTGGCTCAAGAATTATAATGCACCCATTTTTTATTAATAATGGTTGCCATGGTATTGTACACATAGAGAATACACGTTTTACAGCTGGCACTTCCCATTAACATAAGGGGAGAATAGTGATTGAGTATCGTAGAGTTTGTTCAGGATAATGACATAGTAAATGATAACCAGCATGGATTTAGGAAAGACCGTTCCTGCCAGTCCAACCTACTAACATTCTACGAAGAGGTGAGTAGAGATCTGGAAAGAGGGAGGCCGGTGGATGTGGTATATCTGGATTTTTCTAAAACATTTGACACGGTACCACATAAAAGCTTACTACACAAGTTGAGGTCTATAGGCATAGATGAAATGGTGTGTAAATGGATATAGAACTGGCTACAGGAACAGGTCCAGAGAGTATCGATAAATGGCTGCTTTTCAGATTGGTCTAGTCATGAGTGGTGTGTCCCAGGGTTCTGTGCTAGGCCCCATACTATTCAACCTGTTTATTAATTATATCGGGGAAAGAGTGAATAGCCATGTTTCAGTGTTTGCTGATGACACCAAAATCGGGAGGGTAATAGACACGGATTTAGACATTATAACACTACAGGGGGACCTGGATAAAGTTGGGGAGTGGGCAATTATATGGCAGATAAGGGTCAATGTTGATAAATGTAAAGTTATGCACTTTGCGGTTAAAAATAGGCAAGCGGATTACACATTAATGGGAACTCCACTAGGGAAGTCACAAATGGAAAAAGATTTGGGGGTCATTGTAGACCACAGATTGAATAATAGCTTGCAATACCAGGCTGCGGTAAACAAAGCGTGCAGAGTACTGTCTTGTATTAAAAAGGGAATGTACTGCAGAGACAAGGCAATCATTTTGCCACTTTATAGATCGCTGGTTCGGCCTCATCTGGAGTATGCGGTCTAGTTTTGGTCACCAGTCCACAGAAAGGATTTCCTTCAACTGGAGGGAGTCCAGAGGAGGGCAACCAAACTAATTAAGGGGATGGAGGACCAAAGCTATGAGACAAGGTTACTATATTTAAACAGGAGATTAAGGGGGGGGACATGATTTTCTTGTACAAGATGTTCAATGGAAATAGCAACATCAGCAATAAACTCTTTACGGTAACCTCCATAACAAAGACTAGAGACCTCCACCTAAAACTAGTGGAGAAAAAAATTTAAGCATAAGGGGCATAGGGGCTTCTTCACAGTAAGAGAGGTCAGGGTATGGAACTCGCTGCCACAAGCAGTGATCTCAGCCAAGAGTGTTGAATCGCATTTGTGTTGTAAGTATTTGGACGATTTCCTCAGAGACCGCAATATACAGGGGTACAGGTACACTTAAGAAGATGACACATGGACTCATCCACACTCATACACATGTAGATTCACATGCATACATAGGTTGGACTTGATGGACCCGTGTCTTTTTTCAACCTCAAATACTATGTATCTGTATTTTAGTTACAGTTGCAAATATTTAAAATAATAAAACTACATGTCAATAAGAAGGCATAAAACATGACTGCACAAGTCTTGTAACTGCTGGTAAAGGAAGAACACTGTAGCTCTACCCAATATAGTACTCACCCGCAGGTCTTTGAATTCATTTTGTTGATCAATTTCCTGGGCTTTAGGTGCCAGATGGTCCTGGAGGAACCTGTGTATGGTGTGCCGGAGCTAAATGGGGGAAAAACATAATACCTCCCGGTTAATCAAAGGCGTTTTAGCAGATGCATTCGCCAACAATTACTGCACACATGGACACACCTGTGTGTCTACAGCCACCTTTTTGTTCAATGGCCAATGTAATGTAGACAGTGGCAGGTCCTCATGCAGAAGAATGCACCTACCTATTTTCCTGGGTGCAATGAAATATATTGCACTGCGATTATTGTATACTGTAGTACAAGCTATACAGATCTGCTCCAGAAAATGGTGTGAACAGGCCCTTACAGTTTAGGGTGATGTAAATATTCTAAATGGTTCTATAGTAAGGTCCTCAAGGGAATCTCATTAACCATATGCATTCCTCTTAGCTTTCTGAGACGAGGAGTGACACCTTTTCAGCACAAAGTATCTTACACACTTCTGTCACACCTCTAGTTACGGAGGCCATGAAGAATCAATATGCCAAATAAGATTGATCAAAACCACCTTTGGAATGATCCACCTTTGAAATGTAGCTTTCCCTTTGCTCATCCTCTCTGCAAAAATTCTCTCAGAAATACCTATATAGATAACAATTATCTAGGTGGTCACGTGACTGCAAAGCTTCGGATAGTCCGTGGACGTCCGACAATGCCGACGATTTCCTCCTGATCCTGTAGAGTATTGACATCACACACCAGTGTCCATAGTTCTAGGGCAATGTTGGTCGACAGAGTTGGCGGCCACCAGTCACAGAGAAAGGGGACATGGACCAAGCTTGGTGATCCCATAGAAAACGTAAAACAAGGTATTTAGACTGAAAATGTAGACAAGGAAAATAAGAGCAAAGAGAAGGCAACATTTCAAAGGTGGGTTAGTCATTCCTTCTGATTTTATATGCATTAAAGGCTAACTCCACCTTTCCTACCATATTGCAGTCATAATGTATAATATATATATATCTATCTAGATATATCTATCTAACAGTTCCATTCCGCAGCCTCCCCACTTACCTGATCTGGGAGGAGGGGGGGTTCTCCCCACAGGCTTCTGTATATATGTGAACCAGGCACGGCTGCACAAGGCTCCACCTACACAGCCGCATCATCCATTCGCGGGCTCTGTGAATTACCACCACCTTGGACTTGTAGATCTCCATGGAGCACAAGTGTAATGATATCATGGCACTTGTAGCTTACTGAGAAAAGCCCTTTCACGTCCACGGACGTACATAATACGTCACTGGTAGCATGGCCCTGTAAATGGACGTGGTTTGCATTTGTAGAGCCGGCGGCCGGCTTTATAATAGAAGCGATTCTGGTGACTCAACTACAGCCAGATTGCTTCTACGGGCCGATACAGTGCCCCCCCCGCGGACCCTGGATCGGCATGTTGGGTGCCGGCGGGAAACTGGCGAGGCAAACATCTGCTCACCTTTCTCCTCCCCGTACTAAGAGACCGGAAGCGACGCGGATTGCATCACTTCCGGCCCCTGAGCTGTCATTGCTCGGCTACTGAAGCCCAGCAATAAGCTATTGAAGTGCAATCTATGGACTTTTTGGGGTACTGAATTTTGTTGCCATTTCACGGACACACACAATTTTTAACCTGGGCATGTTAGGTATTTATTTATAAGACAGAACCTCATCTTTCATGAGGCACTAAAATTAACCATTTTTCACTAAATTTTGGGGTTTGATAAAGGGTTGCACCAATATTGTGAACCATTAAAATTTGCATTTGCCACCATTTTATTCTACAGGGTATTGGCTTTCAGAATATATATATAATGTTTTGGGGGTTTGAAGTAATGTTCAGGCTTAAATGTGTATTATATCATGTGCGCAAAAACGAGAAAAAAAAAAGTCTTGACAGAGAAAGGGATAGTAATGAGCCTGGGCTTGTTGTGAAGCCATCCTAGCCTGCTCAACACTCTGACTGTCAGACCCCATCATCTGCAGAGGCCCATTCCCCACCCGCAGCTATACGTCACAAGGGGGGGGGGAGATTCCTCCACTGCCACTGATTGTAGCTTCCCTGCCACTGATTGGCTGGGGGGGGGGCACGGTCACAGTTTTGAGCAACTTTGGGTGGGTTTGTAACAATCCCAGGCTCATCATTCATTGATAACTTCCTCCAGCTCCATACTTCAGTACAGACTCGGGGTTGGAGGAATAGTCTGCGGGAGTCTGTGCTCAGTACCCATAATCCGCTGATCGCGGTTGCAATTCTCAGGCGCCAATTAAAAGAATCAATTTTTTCTTTGCAACATAAGCGCATTTATTCATTTCCTGGCCCCTTCACACTTTGTGATGCACGAACGTGCGTTCGCATGAGTTTTTGCTGCCGCTCATGTCAATGGGCTGCTGCACGTAGCAAAGTGGCTTATGCAGCATTTTCAGCTGCAAGCTTCCTGCATTTTTTTGACCACTTCTGACGTGCAAGCAAAGACGCATGGTTTACTAGTGGTGTTTGGGATGCCATTAACAAGTAATGACGCCACAAGTGGTAACACGCGTTATTGATGCAATGCGCTAACACGTGCCAAAGTGCGTGCTTTGACGCACGTTCACGCAACACAAGTGTGCACAGAGAATTAAAGAAGTCCAGGGGAAGAGGGATTTGTATGCAGATGATGGACAGGGGAAGCGATGTGATTGTCTCTCGATGTGCACACACACTACAATCTGCTCTATATCCCCTGATCTGTATGTAGTGTGCGGCGTATGGTATGGATTGTTTGGGAAGGCCTCCTCTTCCTCTATACCGGTATACTTCCCGCACACACGCACCTGCCTCTGCTCATCGCTGAGCCCGTTCACCGTGTCATCTATGGGCACCGAGGCCCCGGAACACCCCCGACTGCTCGGAGCCAACACAGGCCATCCTCGGCGACAGCCTGCGACCACTCGGCGGAGGAGCACAGCCATGATATCCACAAACCACCAGGAGCCTGCCGACCAATTGGATGCGGGGAGGAGAGGGGTGGGGGAACGTAAGCCAATAGGATTTTCGCAGATGACAGAAGACCCCGCCCACTCCATACGCCTCCGTCTAGTCATGTGTGCGGCGGATCACCTTGGTGGAGTCCGAAGATCATACACACAGCACAGAAGCTAATCACTGACATACAATGTAGACTGACCTATCACGTGATTAGAGGGTCATGTGATTACACGGCAGGCTACTAGCTAAAGGTGCTGTATACAAGGACACTAAGTTTTAAAGCAGTACTCCAGGCAGATATTTCCTTAAAGGAGAACTATGAGATGAGTGATTTCCACTCACCTCATAGTTCTAGCCGACCTGTGACAATGAGACTGTCACAGGTCGGCTCAGTAGATCGGGAGGTGAGCGAACACATACCAGGTTCGCTCACCTTCCGATCCTGTCACGGCTCTCTGCCGTGACAGGGGGAGGGGCTGGATTCCCCTCTCCCCGCTCCGATGTGCCAGCGCTGACTGGCGGAACGGACGGGTGAGGGGGCGGGTAAAGCTGGCTCTGCCTCTAGATAGGCAGAGCCAGCTGTCACTCACGCAGCTGGGCGGATCCCGTCATCTACGTCGGGATCCGCTCCGGCTGCGGCGTCTCAGTAGCTCGCGGTATACTGAGCTTAGGGTAACGGGAGGACGCTAGTTTGTGTCCTCCCGTTACCCTAAGGAGAACTATGGGGAAAAACACTGACCCCATAATTCTCCTTTAACCCTTGCAGTGAGGCTAGCCCTGGACGGGTTAACTGCTCGTTTTTGTCTATGTTAAAAAAGTTATACTCTCTCCATTCTCCAAGCTGGCACACTCCTAGATGGGCCCTTCCAGTGTCTCTTCCCCTCCACTGTAGCGGTCTAAGGTGTAGGATGGAGGCTTATTTAGAACCTGTCATGACATGCCGGGTGCTATTTTCCTGGCTGTACCACTGTATCAAGCATGTAGCACATGTACTCAAAACTTCTGATCCAGATGCTTTGGTGACACTGGACAGCCATTCAGTATGAAAGGCAGAGGATCAGCATGACAGAAATGAGCAATGGCAGCCCCAGCATCTATTACAACAAGTGAGCATGCTGCACTGCACTGATGGATGTGAGGTGGGTATACCAGTACTCAACTGAAAGGCCAACATGTGTACGAAAAAAGTTTTTTAGTACTCACCATAAAATCCTTTTCTTGGAGTCCACTGACAAACACTGAAAATCTTCAACTTTGGGATAGAATGCCACCTGCAGGAGGTTTGGACACTGACAACCACCACAAAACTGTAGGCCATCCCTATCCTAACACCAACATACCTCAGTTTGTAGCAAGAGTACCAAAAGCATGATTACAACAAAACAAAAAACAGAGATGGGACCTGTTATATTTTTCAGGTTGAAAAGATTGTTCAACCAATTATCTTATTGGGCTCCAAAATAGCAAAGAATCCTTTTTTTTTCTTTTGCTCATCCACTGAAGTGCACAGGATGTCACCTCTGCAGGCCACACCCCGCTGTTGTTTGGAGACATTAAATGGAATGCACACTGCCCATAAAGTTCTTTAAATAATAAAATAAACTGTAGATTGCACGGTAACAAAGACAAGGGACCATGGCTCACTGCTGCCACCCAGCGAACCCTAACTGTACAGTACAATGTCACGCTTTAAAGCGCAGCTGGTGTGAATGAGGCCAAAGTGTGACAGGAGAACCCAACACCCAAATTTACAACAAGCAGAAAATAATCCAAGCCTAAACCCAAGAGTATCTATTTAGGATTACTGCAAAGTTAGTAAACACAGGCACATTAAGGCCTCATTAACACGTGAAAAGGCCGGCACGTACAGCGCCATGCTGTGTGCACGGCAAGATCGGGCAGCTCCTGGAAAGGACAGGTGCTGTGTGTGATTAGTATCCATGCCCTGTCCTTCTCTATGCGAGTACGCGGCATTACACCGCCCTACGCTCACCCGTCCTGCACGTCCGCTGACAGGATGGATGGAGGGGACTCAATTATCATACGGACAGGGTAATTTGTGAACATCAAACAGTCTGTTGCTTACCGGGGGCTTGTGTTGACACATTGCGGAACGGGTGGACAGGTTAGTGGATGGGGTTGGGCATGACCCAGCTCTCATGGTACCAACTACAAAATGTTTAAGGCGGACAGAGTGTCCTAAAAAAAAGATTTCAAAGACTTAGGTGCTAGGTTGAAGAAAAGGACCTCCATGATTAGTATTTTCGGAGATACTGCTGGTGCCACGAGCCACTCCAGAGACTGAGGGAATTGAGGGGACTGAATAAGTGGCTGCGGAATTGGTGTCAGTAAGAGGGCTTTGGGTTCATGGAGAACTGGGCTAACTTCTCAGTCGGTTACCAGCTCTACAGAAGAGACTGGCTGCATCTAAATAGGGAAGATGCAGCACTTTTGGGGGAGAAAATGGTTAAAATACTAGGAGCTTTTAAACTAGGTGTGTGTGTGGGGTAGGGTTATAAAAAGGAGTATAACAAACAGAGCAAGTAACTACTGGAGCAATTAATATAGGACAGTAATACAAGGGGGGACAGAGGGCTCACTCAAGTCCATCTAATTAGTATCAACCATACCAAGGCTTGATAACGTTGTTGGGCTTCAGGAATGAGCAATAAATAAAACCCAAACCACTAGCACCAAACTAAAATGTATGTACACGAATGCTAGAAGTCTAGCAAACAAATTCGAGCTGGAACTTAGGCTACTCGAAGAGGACTTCGATATAGTGGGAACAACAGAAACTTGGCTGGACAGCTCACATGACTGGGCAACTAATGTACAAGGGTACGACCTGTTCAGGAGGGACAGGATTGGTAGAAGGGGGGGGGGAATGCATGTATGTCAAAAACAATCGAACGGTGCACATACGAGATGACCTCATGACAGAGTGTTGTGATGGTGTCGAGTCTTTGTGGCTAGAACTAGACAAGACTGATGCTAGTCGTAAACTAAGTGTGGCCGTGTGTTATAAACCCCCGAACATACGGGGAGAGGAAGAGGCTCACCTACATTCCCAAATAGAAATAGCTGGGAAATGTTATAATGGGTGACTTCCATTATCCAGACATTGATTGGTCAAATGGAACCTCTCATTCTATAAAGGCTGGCCGTTTTCTGAACCTGTTGCGGGACAATTTCACGGATCAGATGGTTGATGTCCCAACCAGGACGAATGCTATACTAGATAAAAAAATGTTTTTTAAATGTGGACCTAATTGCAGACATTGTGATTAGAGATGCATTGGGTAATAGCGATCACTTTTAATGTTGGGTACAGAAAAGAGATGTTGGTTTGACTACGAGACAAGGTTGCTAAATTTAAACTTGTTCACGCTGGAAGTGAGATTAAGAGGGAACATGATTTTGATGTAAAAAATGTTTAGTGGTGATGGTAACATCAGCAATAATCTTTTTACAGTTAACTCCGTAAGAAAGACTAGAGGCTTAAAATTGTTGGAGAAAAGATTTAACCACTAGGGGCGTAGGGGCTTCTTTTCAGTCAGAGTTATTACATTTTGGAACTCGTTGCCACAAGCAATGGTATCAGCTGAGAGTATTGAATCATTCAAAAAGCAATTAGATACCTTCCTCAGAGACCGTAACATACAGGGGTACAGGTACTCCTAAAAATTAGATCACACACACAAAAGATTGAACATGGACCTGGGTCTTTATTAAATGTCAATACTATGCAACAACAAAAAGTAATATTTACAGATACAAAAATACAAATCGCACTCCAAGCCTGCGATGCTGTACATATGCTGGAAAACAGTGGAAAGAAAATGCTGGGCATGTGTTTTCACAGGTCAAGCCACTTCTCAGTCTCCTCAAGGGATGATCGGAACTTCTCCATGTCAGCCTGGAAAGCCTTCTGCTCTTCTACAAACTGTTTTCTGCTCTCTGCAGCCTCCTTCCACTTTGAGTTGATAGACTGCCAAAATATTTCAGGTTAAGTATTCAAAAATTGAATCGTTTGTGGTTTAAAAAAAAAAAAGTCTCAGTGATAAAAGAAAAATGCAAATGTAAAAGGTTCTCAGGAAATGACCTCACCTTACAGCTACTGTCCTTGTGCTCATCAATAAATCCAGAGAAGCCAGCAAGACCAACAGATGACTCTATATGGCACATTTGCAACAGAGATGGGGGCACAATGTTGACAGAATCAAGTGGCTTTACACTCACTAGATTGCTGTATTACGATTCAGCAATTTGACCACATACATTGTTGTTTAATGTGCATTTATAGCAATGTTTTATGTTGTGGATAGCATAGGAAAGTTAGAATACAGTGACAAGAAAAAGTATGTGAACCCCTTAGAGAATTAACTGGTTGTCTGCAGTAATTTGCCATAAAATGTGGTCTGATAATTATCCAAGTCACAATAGACAAACACAGGGGGGGGGGATTTATTACAACTGGAGCAGATTTGCACTGCAGCCAATCAGCTTCTCTGTCTCATTTTCAAATCTTATCTGAGCTAACTAAATAGAGATGCTGATTGGTTTCCATGGGCAACTGCTCCAGATTCTGTTTGCTCCAGTTTTGATAAATTCCTCCTACTGTGCTTAAGCTGATAACACAAACCATTCTAATTTCTTGTGTCTTTATTGAACACACTGATTACACACAGTGCTGGAGGTGAACCCATGGAGTTAATAGCGCATTAAAACCTCCTTTGGCAGCAATGACTTCAAGTAAGCGCATTCAGTAGCTCTGGATCAGACCTGCACACCATTCAGGAGCAATTTTTGACCAGTCTGCTTTACAAAACTGCTTCAGCTCAGACACGTTTGTAGGATGTCTGGTGTGAACAGCTCTCCAGGTCATATAGCAGCTTCTCTTTGGGGGTCAAGGTCTGGGCTCGGACATGCCAAAAAGGTGAATTTCTTTTTCTGAAGCCAATCTGTGGTGGATTTACTTAGATGCTTAGGGTCATTGTCTTGCTGCATCACCCAACTTCTACTAAGCTTCAGCTGGCAGACAGCCACCCTGACATTCTGTAGGATATTTTGGTAAACTTGGGAATTCATTTTCCCCTCGATGATGGCAAGTGGTCCAGGCCTTGAGGCAGCAAAGCAAGCCCGAATCATGATGTTCACTTCACCATTAGGTTTGATGTTGGTAAGCTGCGCCCTTTTTGTGCCATACATAGTGATGAGTATACTTCGAGCCATTCAACTTTTGTTTCATCAGACCACAAATCATTTTCCCAGTAGCGTTGCGGTGTGCCAAGGTGTGCTCTGGCAAACCAGACTTATCCAGTGAAGCATTGTTAATGAAAGTGGTAGGAAATCCAAAAAGGTTACTGCTGCATCTGTTCCTGCAACAATAGTCTAATAGGGATTTCCCCTCACTTCCTGTTGTCCACAGGCAACATTTTAAAGGCCTTTACAGCTCATTAATTTAGAGTTACTAGTGAACGATGGCCCTACAAATATCGCTCTCTGGTGTGCACAGCAATATCTGTACAGTGCAATTTTGGTACACACGTTTTCATACACGTGTACCAGACATGTTTGTATGCGTGTCCATATAGGGGACCAGGGGCTGGATGGTGGTTAGTGTTTAAACATTTTTTTTGAGGAATTTCAAATTTTTGAATTACTTTAAGTAAAATGTTACTTAAGTTAATTGCCTTCACAAGGGAGCGGATAGCAATTGTAATAGTTCCATCAGCGGCAGCACAAGGGTTGTATGCAACTGGCGCCCCTCCCCCCAAAAAACTCATACGGCAACATCCTTCAGTTTATTAAAAAAAATAAAAAATATATAGACTATCCCATCCTACCAAGTTCATCTCTTAATTTTTGGGGTAAAGGTCTCTATGCTTCTATTTTTGTGGCATCCAGATGCAACATGAAAGAATCTTACCTACTAGAGCATCTGATCCAGGGAGATTCTCTCCATAATCTGATTACTGCATTGACCAACTCATAGGAAACATTGTGAGAAGCTAGCTACACATGGAATTTTGATGTTCATTCATATTTACGTGTGGGGGGTGAAAAAAAAAAACCACATACCTGGACAAGCCTTTTTTGTTCTTTGGTCTTAGAATTAAAAATCTTAAGTTCCGTTAAGAGGTGGTCTGTGGCAGTCTGAGAAAAAAAAAAAGTTAAATAGCATTTACTATTAATATAAATTAGGGCTGGTACTGATTAAAATGTTCGTGTTCGATTAATCGAATTTCTTAAATCGATTAGAACGCACATACAGATCCAACTACATTGCCCTATACACATACAGCACAGCAATGAAGTAATAAAATGAACTAGGATCACACTAATCCAGCACGTTATTAATCTCACATGCCCCACTCAATATGGCCGCCGCTTGAGTGGGGCAACTCAGAATAATAACGTGCTGGATTAGTGTGATCCTAGTTCATTTTATTACTTCATTACTGTGCTGTATGTGTATAGGCCAATGCCTTGGCTGGCGCAGAACAAGTTTCTTGGGCAAACCTCTTAGTTGTAACGAAACCGGAAGTCAGGCGGTCACAGAACTCGATAAGTTCAGTGTCGACAGATCACCGGCCCAAGTGGCTCCGTCGGTGATCTGTCCCGGTGCCAGCTACTAAGCCATTATGCTGCTCAGGTTTTACCTTTTCATCTGCTCCTTTGAGGTTATGTCCCCATGTTTGCACATGTGCTGTGCCTCACTGCACTTTATGGCAAGAACTCTGGGGGCCCATATTTTTTTTTTTTTTTTACAAAGTTCTGCGTTAAATGCCAAAATCTAAACAAATCACGTTTTAAAGGAGAAGTATTGGAAGAGTAAAATGTTCTCTTCTCAATACTTAAAGCCGGTGTGGGACACTGCAGCTGCCACCTGCTGGCTCTATAAAGAGAGCCGAGCAATCATCTAACCACAGATTGCTCAGCTCACGTTCTCCAGGCCTGATTGGAGGGACAGGCAGGGGAGGGTGAATCCTGGACAACAGTGTCAGGATCCTTCCCGGCTGCAGCGTGGCTCTGCAGTAGCCAGCTATATGCTGACTTTAGGTCACAGGAATATATTAGCAATTGTACTCCTGTGACTCAAAAAAGGTTTGGCTTTACTTCTCGTTTAATTGAAAGACTCAAAAATGTTTTGCCCGTTTAAATCTCAAGATGGTTAACATCAATTTCTTATGCTCAGCTTCAAGAGATGCCAGTTCTTACCTTGGTCTCTTCCCTGATCTTACATGCTTCTTCTGCGTCAGCTAGGATTTGTTCACCTAAGACTAATGGAAAAGAAAAATGCTTCACACTTATACCACTTATATTTTCAGTGACACAATACATTTGAGTATTTCAGCAGAGTGCTGGCTTTCTTTGTATTCTGCTGAGACAGACTTTCAGCTTGGATTTCTATCCTTCAGTTCACTCGCACCTATTTATACATTCCATCTTCTACAGCGATTGATTACCTGGGTCAATGTTTCGATGTTCCAAGATAATCATACTTTTCTCCAAACGCTGTTTTAATGTATTTATCTCATCTTGCATGGCCTCCTGTTTTTCAGACATCTCTTGATTTGAACTCTGTCCAAAAGCAAACAAATATGGTGAAAATAAAAAAATCAGAATACAAGACATGTATAACATTGCACTGTTATCCATACCAGCAACCTCTAAATTACTCAAAAAGGTGTCTATTACAACACTTCTTTACAGCAGCTCGCACAATCACCAAACATTGGAAGCAAAATATAATCACACCCTTTACTGTAGAATGGATGCAAATTAAAAGGGCAAGTTTATCTTTTCTACCATGTTTCTTATTATGCCCATATTCAGGGTGCAACAAGAAACATGGCAACATCGCCAGCGCCCTACCCCCACTTACCTGAATCGTTGGGTTCTTCTCCCTGCAGGCAGCTGCCATTTTTCAAATGTGGAGTGGTTGTGCATGGCTACACCCACACAGCTGCATCATCCATTCACAGATCCTTTGACAGAATCTGCCAATGGAGAAGCTTCATCAGCCATTGCAGACGAGTAACTGTGTGGAATACAAGTGAAGGGACATCAATGCACTTGTAGTCTGCTGAAACTTCCTCCCGTCCCAATTACTGAATATATGGTACCTTGGTATGGACAGGGATGGGAGGAAGAGTCTACAGCAGCCAGAGCATTACACCTGTGATCTACTGATCATGGTTGCAACGCTTTACTTGCTCCAATGCCAAAAAGAATAAACCAGTGGGATTGATTTCTTTTATTATCCAATCTAATTTCTGTATGAATTACATCCAGATTATTGGCTTGAATTGTTCTAAACGAGAATGGATACTGGAATTTTAACATATGGAAGGGATTCTATAGCAGAAATGAATACAGGGAATTAAGTTTATAGAAACATAATGGCAAAAGTATTGTAAAACTAAATACAGATGAGATTTTACTTGATATATAGATCAAGGTGGGAGCTTCAAAAAGAGGTTTTTAAATGATTTTAGATCCGAATATCTTTTTGGCATTTGATCTTTTTTCTTGGATATCAATAGGCATTTTGATGTGGGGAATATCCCTATTCAGGGGTATGCAGGATTTTTATCCAATTCTCTCTTAGAGATAGATTTACACCAACCTGAGAGCTGAGTAACTTGCTCTGTAAAGTGTTGGTTGCTGCCTCCAATAACTGATTCTGATCCCGTAGCTCAGATTCAATTTTATGCCGGTTTATTAGCCTGTATAAGAAAGACACGTTTCATGGATGACTACTTATTGTAGCTAAATCAAAACGGACATTACAAAAAAACGAAGAACAAATGGTGAAATGGTGAATATTAGGACAATAAATCTAAAGAAAACCTTATGGTGTGAATCAGTGTCATGAACAAGTGCAGAATCCGCTAAACTGAACACAGATTTATGTGGTAAACCCTCCGACACGGGTTGTAATGTCCACATGCATAAGCTTCAGCTCCAACTCTGCCCTGCCACATTAACTAGGTAAGCATCGATATATTGGCTAAAAATGGCACTTTGGCAAAATGGGGGCGGAGACAGCCATTGCCGTCACAGGAGGCTGAGCTCTCCCCCACCCGACAAGCTGGGGAGCGGAGCCAGCTGTCATAGGAGGCTGAGCTCTCCTCCCGCACCACCTCCTGTGACAGCTAGTGTCAGTGATCATGAGTGTTTGTAAATAATTGAGGACACTGTATGTTTACTGTATCCTCAATTATGAATGAATGGGAAGTGATCTACATCACCTCCTGTTCATTCATGATTGTAGATATAGTAGACACCCGGTACACAAGTAATGAATTAGAAGGAGCACTCAGTGTAGAGGATTCCTGTTCATTTATAACAGGTGCTGCAGAAAGATTGAGGACTGTGTTCTCAAATCTTTTTCTATTTTAAAAAAGGGAAATATCAGGGGTCTGTTTTGACCCCCAATATTTCCCCAAAGCCCCTAAAAAGTAAAAAAAAATAATCGAAAAAATAAGTTTATTAAAAAAAAATAAAAGGTACACAAAAATGAAAATTTCGAAACAGAAAACAAAAATGTTTTTATTCTAACTTTTTTTCAAAATTATTAACAACTATTGCATAGATCAACAATGCCACTTAAGCCAATAGCATTGAGCTTAATATTTTGATGGTTAGGAGTAGGGATGTACCGATGCCAGTATTTTGGTACGAGTACCGATAATTTTTTCGGTGCTCGCCGATACCAATTACCGGAAGTCCCATTCAGGAAGCCAGATGGCGTGTAATGACAGGCCACCTGATTAATAAGAAAGCCGGCCAATCATGGAAGCTGGGCTCCGTGTAATGACGCTGCGCCCTGCTTCCCGATTGGCCGGCTCCATGAGATGACGAGGGAGCATGAAGCCGGCCAATCAGAATGCCGGGCGCTGCGTCATTACACGCTACCCGGCTTCCTGATGGCCGGGAAGTTGGCTCCATGCTCTCTCATCACACGTGACGAGCATGGAGCCGCTTCACGGCCAATCAGGAAATCGGGCAGCGTGTAATGACGCGCTGCCCGTCTTCCTGATACAGGAAGTATCGTGCTAGGCATCGGAGCATTTGGGCGAGTACGAATACTCGGTATTGGCGCATCCCTAGTTAGGAGTGTGGCAGCGCTTTCAGTTAAAGCAGAAGTCAAGTGCCTGTATGGATAATGTGCACAGCATTGGGGGAACTACTCAAGCACACAGAAACGATGTATTGGCTAATGAAGTTTTCACGGAATAAACAGGCCCATAGCAATAATGTAACGCTGCTTCTATAAAAAAGGTGTGAGAACTGGTTAAACACTTAAAACCTATGTATTATACTACACGTCCGAGTCACCAGGCCCTTAAAAAGGGGAGGACCTTTAGCACTAATATTGTGCAAGGCAGGGAGACTGTCACACGTTCTACCAATACCAGGAACTTCACGGCTAAATTGGGGTATAACATGCCATGCTTATGGTGCCTACTGTAAGGTGAAATGGTTAAGCTGGCCATACATTGCGCTATTCTTCAACCTGCAGGCTGACCAAATAAAATATAACAGATTCATCCGTCCATGCTAACAAGTGTGGAAGGACAACTCCCTTCTTGTTTCTATTTCTTTTGCGGCCAGCAGCCACTGTCAGAATACCCGAACAGCGATTGCCAGCAAACACCGTTGGGGCGAAAATTTTCCAACCGGCTCCTTCGATCAGCTGATCATCAAAATCCGGCAGAAATTTACATAGTGTACGGACACCTTTAAATTTGCCTTCCATGAATGAAGTACAGATTAATAATATGATCCCTAAAATACACACAATTATACTCACCCCCGTGGAAGAGGAGCAGTTTTCTTAGAAGGAACTGTTTTTTTTCTGTAGACAAAAAAAAAATATAAAAACTGGTTCACCGTAAGTTGGCTTTAGAAAGTAAGCAGGCTACACATTTCTCTTAGAACAGTATTTTTATTTTATAGTGTAGAACACTACAAGTCCCCCAATAACCCAGATATTTGTGGTTTAAAAAAAAACAAACTATTTTTTTAATAGCACTAATCTGTCTGTACTAGCTTGTAGTTCCGCCATCAGCATTCCGATAGGGAATGAAAGGGGCAGCACTGTTTGTACATCTCAAGTTCTGTAGATGGATGCAGCAAAAAAAAGTTAAACTTTCTGGTAAATGTATACACAATGGGGGGAATTTATCAAAACTGGAGCAGACAAAATCTGGTTGCAGTTGCCCATAGTAAACAATCAGCTTCTTTCTTCAGTTAAGATTTGAAAATAAAAGATAGAAGCTGATTGGTTGTCATGCAGAGCTGCTCCAGATTCTGTCTGCTCCAGTTTTGATAAATTCCCTTCATTATGTTTGGAGAAAAGAAAATTACTGAATGGCAACACCAACATTTCGTTTTAGCTGTGAAGCATTGCAGAAGTACACTAAAGGGAGGTTGCTTTGCGGCCTCAGTGCCTAGATGACTTGGGTTCAGATGTGAACACATTTCATTTTGTATCTGGGAATTCTTTGAACTTGATGGACATATGTCTTTATTCAACCTCAAATACTATGCAACGGTCTGTGTGTGACATGAAACTCCAAAGAAGCTATTAAACTATACGTGAACCCTAAAATCTACTTTTCCGGATTCTATCCATCATTCCTCACTGTACACAGTTTAAAGGTGACATTAAAATATAAATGTTTTCCCCTCCGCCAATGTTAGTGTAAGCACTTACCTTAAATTATGTCTCTTAATCCGAGCTTCTTTCCTGGCGCTGCTGCGGGTCTCCAATCCAGCGCAGACTCCTGTGCTTGTTGGCACTTCCGGTCCCACGGTGTCTGCATGCGGGTGCACGCTGTCCATATACTTGCCTTGTGTCTCATCTCCTGGCTGAATATCTAAACTACGCCCGCCCCAAGAGCCTTTGCGGCCGCCGGAGATTTTTCAGATTTGCGGACGGGAGCGCGCGGCGAAGACACAGATAAGTATTAACCTCTTTTATATTTTAAAAAAAGTTTTTGCATATATCTACTGCTTACTAGCAGTAGATATATGCCAAAAAAACGGAGGGTTTAATAACCCTTTAGGTAAATCTTTTTTGCGAATTGGTTTCACAAAAAAGTTTTAGGGATGCACCGATAGTAGTATCGGTGTCGAGTACTCGTACTCGCCTAAATGCTCCGATGCCTAGCCAGATACTTCCTGTATGAGGAAGCCGGGCAGCGTGTAATGACGCGGCGCCCAGCTTCCCAATTGGCCAGAAAGCCGGCTCTATGCTTACTAGTCACATAGTGACAAGCATGGGTACATCTTCCCGGCTAATCAGGAAGCCAGGTGGCGAGTTATTACACGCCGCCTGGCTTCCTGAAATGGGACTTCCAGTATCGGTATTTGGTATCGGCGAGTAACGGAAAAAATTATCGGCACTCATACTCTATACACCGGTACATCCCTAGTTTTTGTCTGTCTTTGTTACCCCCACCAGTAATAGCACTTCCTGTTGCAGGTTGACAGCGCTATTCCCACCAGCTGCTCAACTCCTGCTTGAGGAAACACAGGAAATAACAGTTTGCATTTCCAAGTCCACCCTGAAACTATGATATTGTGTGAGGGCGTGTACTCTAAATGTTACTTGAATCTGACACAAGGCATTCCACAAATATGTGGACAGAATATTTGTTTTCCTTTATTCAGAAGAAGGCCAAATAAACCTCCTAGAAAATGAAAGAATCCATACATGAGGTCTAACTTGTTACTAGATATGCAAGCTCACGTCTTCCCCTAATCAATGGCCTTGAACTGTTTAAACCTTTTGTTTAGCAATTATATAAATGTGCAAACATTGCGTGCGTTTATTATGACATGGAAGACCATATAAGAAATACGACAATACAGATCGTAAACCCTTAAACATACTAATGTATAAAACAGTATTCATATTGAATGCTTACACAATGCTGCCACCTTTCGGCATTGTGAAATCAGGAACTGTAGAAGAAAATGCAATATTGGGGTTCTTGCTGTAAAGCGGAAGACCTGGTTTCTGAGGACAGGGTTTCTTGGCAGTTGGTAAAACAAGGTCTATGGAAAAAAAATATATAAAATAAATAAGTAATAAGTCACTGTACTAAAGAAATATTATCAACATGTAACTTTTCAAAACAAATGCAAGAACATAGGCAGTACATATGCAAGGGAAGTGGGTGAGAGGTCAGAAAAGGAAAAAAATATGCCATCCGGTGCTAAGACAATGGGTCACCAAAAAGGATTGGGATTCACACAGGAGTTGTGTATAAGGCTATTTAGCATGCCTCTGAAGCACCTACACCAGGGGTCCGGAGCCGCATGTGGCTCTTTCATCCCTCTGCTGCGGCTCTCTGTCCAGGGGCGGAACTACCGCCGGGGCCTCGGGCCTGAGGCTGTGGGGGTGCCCAGTGAGGTCCAGTCCTGGGCACTTCTATCCGACTTTGTGAGTGGGGTGGAATGTGAGATTGCACTCAGAGTCGGATAGAAGTGACATTTCAGGACCAATCAGCTGTTCCAGGGCAGATCAGTTCTCCTGCACTTACGATTTGCGCTGCCGATCTGCCCTGGAACAGCTGAGAAAGCGTTGGAATGCTTGACCTATTGGCAGTCACATATTTCACCCCTAAAAAAACTGGGCAGAATTACATTGTGATGTGTGACCAGGTCACACATTGTAATGTAGTCACAAACTTTGATAGAACACCGTC